CGAAGGAGAGAATCGAGCCTATGTGGAGATTGTAGAGGATGGGTCTGCCGATCTGGTCATACAGCAGGTGGACGATAGCGAGGAAGAAGAAGAAAAAGAAATAAAACCCAACATCAGGTAGCCTGAGGTGCAACCTGACAGAGCTGGCATGCCTGCAGTTTACACAGGCATCCCATGTCTCTCCATGGGCAGAGCCCGGTTAATGGGTTTCTCCTGACTTAGAAGCAACCTGATGTAACTTGCATGCTTTCGGAATCGGCCACTGTATTCACGCTGAACTTTGTTGCTGCACTGGGAAGACCTTGCTTGCGTTGGCATGATGGATGACCAGTTACCCTTTCTGTTATTACAGATACCATTTTCTTTAAATATTGGAAAAATCTATTTAGCAAACTTTTTTGACTAAAATATTTTAAATAAACCTATCATAAAACTTTGAAAAAAAAAAGAAAGAGAACTTCAGATCAATCTCCTTTATGAATATCGATGCAAAAATACTCAATAGTATTCTCACAAACAGAATCCAAGAACACATCAAAACAATAATCCACATTGATCAAGTGGGCTTTACCCCAGAAATGCAGGGATGATTCATCATTTGGAAATCCATCAGTGTAATCCACTATATAAAAAACTCAATGAAAAGAAAACACATGATCATCTCACTACATGCTGAGAAAGCATTTGACAAAATTCAACATCCCTTCAAGGTAAAAGGCTTAGAAAGAACAGGAATTCAAAGTGAATACCTTAACATAGTAAAATCAATATACAGCAAATCAGTAGCCAATATTAAACTAAATGGGGAGAAACTTGAAGCAATCCCACTAAAATCAGGGTCTATACAAGGCTGCCCACTATCTCACTATCTATTCAATGTAGTATTTGAAGTCCTAGACAGCAATTATCCAACAAAAGGAGATCAAAGGGATAAAAATTAGAATGGAAGAAGAAAAAATATCACTATTTGCAGATGATATGATAGTATATTTCAGTGACCCCAAAACTTCTACCAGAGAA